ACAAAGGTAATTTTCACTAAACACTGAAATACAACCACTCCTGCAATACTCAGTGATAAGAACTTAGCAAAGGAAATATATATATACATACATATGTATATATGTGTATTATATGTATACAGGGTGTGGAAAAGTAGATTTACAGTAATTCATATGGAAAATAATTCATTAAATAAATAATAATACAAAATAAACTGTATTTCATGTACTCACAATTGTAAACCTACTTTTGCCACACCCTGTATATATATATATATATATACATGTAATTTATGAAGTCTAGGCTACCAGAGGAAACTGGCAAAAATCCACTCATTGAAGTGGAGCTCAGCCAAGACATTAATTTCTACATCTCCTTGTTCTGATTCCAAACCAAAGAGAGTACAGGCCTTGTGTTTTCTGGTAAAGTACAGACCTATGCAACAATCACCATGTTTTCTCAGACCAGAGCTAGTAACTCTCAACAATGAGGGTTTGTGAGTCCAAACTGGTTTCTCTAGGTGGGTGGTGAAATAATAGCCTACTACAGTCATTCATTCTTTTCCTCAAACGAACCATGTGTCTTGAAAAGTTCTGCTCATTCACAGAGCAAAATCCCATTTTAAATACAGTGTCTAGGGATGTTTGCCCATGAACAAGGTCAACAAAAATGTTTAAACCCCACTAGGAAAGGAGAGCTTAGTTTTATGACTGTTGGGAGACAGCCTTGGTTGATCTTAGTGTTCTCAAAGGCTCCGATGCTCGGTTGGCGACCAATCATTAACCACGGAGCACTTAGACATAAAGTGAAAGAGAAAACAATAACTATGTCTTTAATATAAATTATATCTGGCCTTAATTTAGCTTTTTAGGTCTTCTCCAAACAGAATTTACAAGGTGTAGATATAGATATCTTAGAATATTTGAAGCATTCTCCCCTAGTCTGTAAGCACAGAGAAAAAGCAGAAACTTCGGTCTGTAAACACAGGTAGATGTAGGAGGATTCTTTCCAAACTTCATTTTTAAAAGCCAGAAATACAATTGAGGAATAACTTTTCATTTCTTTTTTATCTACTAAGAAAAACCAGTAACTTTAAATGTTTGCATAAATTCTTAAGGATTGTCCTCTCATCCCCCTTCCCACCACCCACAAGAAGATGAAAGACTGTGGACTTCCTGGAGGAAGTAATTGCTCAATCACTTTGGAATCCACTGGAACCCTCTGCAGTATTAACTGGTCAAGACAGGCATGTGCCATTGTAAAATATTCCTCTCTTGACTTGGAGCTCAGAACTAGAAGTGAGTCTCTGATACCTTCTGCTTGATGTGCTAACGTTCCAAGTTTCGTTCGCCCAAACTGGGAACAGATTTTATCTCAGAAAACTCGGTTGTTGCTTCCCTGGGTGCTTTCCTATTTTTACATGAGACTCACAACATCCTATTTTCAGACTTTATATTTTCACGATAGGTTTGGCATAATTGCCAAGCAGTGCTTAAAACAATTTACATCACAGCTTTTAGGAGCCAAAAAGAGAAAGAAGATCGATTAGATGTCAGAAGGTAAGATTGAAGAGATCATTAAAACCCTGTTCTTCCGAAAGAAAGCGAAGAAACAGGAGAGACTGAGACGCCGCGCTAAGTGGGAGGGTCCCGTGGGCGCCACATTCCCCGCGTTACTAGCTCAGTCATCTGTGGGCAAGTGCTGAGCCCCCACTGTGCGCAGGGACCTCCCCTGCACCCGCGGCCCCTTCGTAACTGCGTCCGTGGGGTCCTCTCAGTCCTGTCAAAAACGGCAATTGTTGGCTATTCCCGACAAACTCTTTATGACAGTCTGTCTGGAACGTGATGATCCTGTAGCAACAACGACAGGATAAACTCGTCCCATTGTTCTGCCAAAAAAAGGGTTTGCTTGGAGTAACTCTTTGCTTCCTCCCTGCCTCAAAGCAAAAACTCCTCCTATCGCTGCACAGAAACAAGAACAAAAAAGTCAGGCTTTCAGTAGGAGTGCAGCGCCGTCTGGGCAGAAGTCGGTCGCCGGCGGCAGCCAGCAACCTCTGCGCAGAGCGCGCCGCCC